TTTATTTTCTGTTGATAACATTTTCTTTACAAACTAATTCAAACCAAACTCATAAACGCAAGAATTTATCGAATGACAATTCAATAACCAATCTTTATGGACACGATACGATATAACCTATATCACCCGATAAAATAATACTTTACTTTTTTCTTGCGGCTATATTACCGCACCAACACTATACACAAAGGTGCATAAAAACATTGTAATATTCCTTTGTCTCTATGTTGATGACATGTTGATAATTAGCAACGATATAAATGGAATTTTAAAGACAAAAAGGTTTCTAACTTTCACATTCAAGATGAAAGATCTTGGGCTAGTTGACATAATTTTAGGGATCAAAGTAAAGAAAAATAGTAGGGTTATGAACTTAGTCAAACACATTACATTGAAAAAAATGCTTGATAATTTCAAACACCTAGACTTTAAGGAAGTAACTACTCCATTTGATCATGTCGTCAAACTTCAAAAGAACAATGGAAGAGCAGTGGCTCAATTGGAGTATGCAAATGCAATTGGGTGTCTTATGTATTTAATGCAATCTACCATACTTGATATATCATTTGCAATTAGTAAAATGAGTAGATTTACTAGTAATCCAAATAATGAACATTGGAAGGCAATCACAAGAATTTTTTGCTATCTACTAAAAACCAAAAATCTTAGCCTTCATTATGGTAGGTTTCTTGTTGTACTAGATGAATATACCGATGCAAGTTGGATATCGACCATTGGAGATCATAAATCTACAAATGGGTAAATATTTACATTAGCCGGAGGTACAATTTCTTGGAAGAGCAAAAAACAAACATGCATTACTCTTTCGACCATGGAATCAGAATGTGTGGCTCTTGCTTCCACATGTCAAGAAGCTGGATGGTTAAGGGACCTTTTGTTGGAAGTCCCATTGGATAAAGAAAATGTTTCAAAGGTGTTAATACATTGTGATAGTCAAGCCACCCTAACCAGAGCATTCATTGAAGTATACAATGGAAATTCTAGACACATGGGTCTTAAACATTCTTTAGTGAGAAAACTGATTAAGAATGAAATCATTTCACTGACATATATACGAACAAGCTATAATTTGGCTGATCCATTTACTAAGCTATTAACCAGAGATGTAGTAAAGACAACCTCTAGAGGTATGGGGTTGAAACTCCTTGAATAAGAGTTCCATCAGAGGAGACAACCCAATCTTATGTTAATAGAACATTAACCTCAAGATTTAATGGGGAATAACAAGTCGTTGATTTGGATGTTTGTCGGATATTTGATAATAATGTTGACTATCTTAAATTGAGGGTTGAGTTTTTTCAAACTCTTAATGAAGTTCAATATTGATGATAAGTATCTCATGGAAAAGAGTACAATATGAATTCATGAAACATTCATAAAACATAGCCCATAAATAAGTGCTAGGCGAGAAATGTAGGTGAAGAACACCTAAAGAGTGTGTATAAGGGAATGCCGATCTAATCACATAGATTAACAATTTAAAAGCATTTCTACCTAAACGTCTGATTAGACTTTATGTTGTCCTTACTAAGGTTAAGTTTTAAATCGAAAAATACTTAACTGTATTGACATTTTTTTTTATTTTTTTAAAATTGGTCTTGTCATTATTAGAGCAAGTGAAGGATAGTTGTAAATTATGAACAATAATGTCCATGGGTGTCTTCCAAAATGACAAGAATAGTAGAAGTGAGTAAATGACAATAAATGCATAGGAAATAGTCTCACATAGAAAGTGGTATTCACATTAAAAGCCTTTTTAAAGAGTTATGTTCATTAACTCAACAAAATGACAAAAGAAGATAAAGTGTCACATGGACATGTATGATGGTCTCAAGCATTATCCTACTTGTCTCCTTCGTACACCCCTTTGGCGGTGTCGCTGTTACCACCGGCAACACCGAATCTGGAACTAAGTCCGAGGGTGTGGGTGTAGAGACACTAGTGGTGTCTTGTAGGCGACACTTAAGCACTTAGGCACGACACATCAAACAATCGGGCTATTCGCGACAATATAAGGTGGCGTCAGCGGTGTTTTGGCGGCCGACATGTGGCAGCAAGCCACCACATAGGGCAAATGGTCGTTGTTTTTTATTTTTGATTGTTACTTGTTTGAATTTTGAATTTTCAGAAAAAGGAAATACTTCGTGAAGTTTTGCATTGAAAGTCGTTGTTGTAGGCGAAACCATGCATTCTTTTGTAAAAGTATTGTTGAAAGGATGTTATTTCATCAAGAGTCGCAATCTTGTGAAACAACACCTACATGACCTATAAATAAATCACTTTGAATTCAGAAACAACATCCTCTTTACAAACATAAATTCAGACACTCTTCGCTGCATTCAAGTTTTCCTCGGTCTTGCGCAAACTAGATATAAGGTTGAATTATCCTGAGTATTCATATATTTTAACTCTAAGATATACTTGAGAGTGCTTGAAATACTTATAAAAAATTGATTTCGTACGATTCAAACTTAGATCCATTCGATTTTCAAAGTTTTTTAACAATTAAATCAATCATATTTTAATTGTAAATAAAATTAATTATTTATACAACTAAATTGACTATATTTTAAATCCATTAACTAAATATAAAAATTGTTTGTTACTATCATTATTTTTATCGATATTCTTCGTATGGAGAAGAAACCACCTGGCTGTGGTTCACTACAATGCGAGGAAAGTTATGAATCAGATGGACACCTATCTCTAATTGCTTTTGTGTCCATCCATGCACATTCCAAGTTGCAGCAACACATTAAGATGCATTCAAATTTGATGACAGAACTCTAACTTTATTGTATTTTATAATAATGACCTCTTTATGTTTCTGTAATGTTTCAATTTAAATGAACTTTGACCTCAAATCAAATATTACAATTCATTATTTATGGAGGTAGTATATGATTTTTGTAGTGTAATTATGGGATATAACTAAAGTGTGTATAAAATTTATGTTATCTAGCATAAATTAAACTCATAAATAAATATTTATTAGAATTTAATTTATATACATCAATAATATATATTATTTAGAATATTAGTGTATTATAGCTGTTTGATTTTTAAAAAATTGCTTTAAAAGATTAATTTTTACATTTGTATGCATAAATATTTTATCCATAGCAAAATAATAATAATAATAATAATAATAATAATAATAATAATAATAATAATAATAATAATAATAATAATAATAATAATAATTATTATTATTATTATTATTATTATTATTATTATTATTATTATTATTATTATTATTATTATTATAATTTATATTAAAAGTTCATTATACATGCATCAAACGAAATCACTCTAAATAAATATATTTAAATGAATTATTATACATTAACTATATACTTTTTTTTACAATAAATATCATTTTTTTAATATTAATTTATAATTTTTTTTTGAATAAAATTGAATATTCTAAAAATATATTTTTGAAAAAAGTAATAATTAAGAATGAAAGTGAAAATATTTTTTAATTAATCAAATCAGATCAATAAAATATTTATGAAAATATTTTTAAAAAAATAATCAATAAAAATAACACTTTCATGTAATTTGATTGGATGAGTTCATATAAAACAAAAATTAACACATTAAAGTAGTATAAGTGTTAATTGAGTGAAGTATAAGTATTAATTGAGTAAGTAGAAAACTCATTTATTGAGTTAAATAAATATAAATTGATCTAAAATTTAATCCATGATGATATTATTTATTTATATTTATATATTTAATAAATTAATAATTTAAAAAAAAATCAACTCATTTGCAAAAGAGTTAACTCACACGATAAGAGATTGATGAGTTAGGTTATTATTGTAGATGTGAATTCATCTTTAATAAATAAATTATAAATATTTACGAGATTTACCGTGACTTTGATGATGTTTCAAAACTCAACCCATCTAAATTTTTAAAATATAATAATTAATTTAATAATATATTAATATTATTTAATTGAATGAATATACATATTATTAAATCTTATATATAAAATAATTAACAAAAAATTAAACAAAACTTTTATAAATCAAATAGTTAGTTTAATAATTTAACATATGAACACACGTCAACAGCTAAAAACAGTGGTCGCAGATAACCGCTGGTTTTTAAACAATCTATGGGAAGCTCATCAAAATACTGCTTTTCCATTTCCTTTTCTTTGTAATTTTTCCTTCTCATCAAATTTCATAGTTATCCATCTTCATATCACAACAAAGTCTATTCAAAACTCAACTAGCACTAATAATTAAAATCATTATTTTATAAGGTATGAATAGTAACCTACCTCTTAGAATTATTTTTAGTAGAGTTATATCATAAAACAAATTATAAAATAATAATAAATATATTGAGTTTGATATCTAAAGTTTAATTCCTAACAAAATTTTATTAATGTAAATAAGTTATTTATATTTATAAATTATTAATATTAATATTGTTATTAGAGATTGAACTTAGACTAATAATTTGTAAATTTATTTAATTTAATTAATATTTATTAGTTGAATTATCTCATTCACCTAATAAAAATAAATTTATAATTTAAATTTAAATTTTTTCTTCAATAAATTTTTTTATTATTTTTTTATTATTTATAAAAAAAATCTTTAAACTCACTTGTATTAAACTCTATTGAGCTTTATTCCTTCTAATTATTTACTAATATATTTAACACTTCTAATGACACTTGCCATTTGTCAATAAAAAGCACTATTCCATGATAAATAGCCCATGGTTTTCAACATTTGATATCATTTTTATCTCTTCTAAATATATAAAAAATATATATCAGAATAACTCATCATCTTTCTCCCAAACCTCTCTACCATTACACCTTCAAAATTCTCACTCTTCCTTCTTGCATGTTACTCTAAAAATTTCATTTTGAAATAGTAATATTTTGATCTTTTGAAGTGAAAAAAAAAAGCTTATTCATTTGGGAGATATAAGATTTTGTGTTAGTGAAAATGGAGGATGGATTAGTAGAAAAAAATGAAAAAGTTGGTTGTATGAAAAAGGTGATTATAAAAAAGAAGAAAAATTATCATAGTAGCAAAGTTAAGAAGCCAATTTCAAATAAAACACTTCAGAAGCTATTTGTCTCATGCATGGAAACGTTCAAAGGACCTGGCACTGTTCCTTCAACAAAACATGTTCACAAACTATGCCACATTCTTGGTATGATTAATTAATTTCTTTTTTATTGTTTTTTCTTAATTTCTATGTTTCGAATTGTGTGAGTAATTGGATAAAAAAGTGTGATATTAATTTAACTTTTTTGTTAGTTTTTTGTTGCAAATTTGTGTCATGTTTTTTTTGGATTTGGAGACTATTTCCATTTGCATGTTGTTGATGTTGATTTTAATGTATGAGTTTAATTAGAAAACATATTAATTATAAAGTTAGACCAATTAATTTGATTTTAATGATGTTTTAATATTAGCTTTTGCATTTCTTCAAAGGTTCATTTAATTTTCTTTATATCAACTTGCTTATTTATTTACTTACCTTTTCAAATTGAAGATTTTTTGTTAATGCATGTTATTTTTTTGTTAATTAATATTTTATTCTAGTTAAGTTGAGTATCTGACTGATTGATATTTTTTGTTAATGCATGCTATTTTAAATTTCTATAGAAAACAAACATTTAAACCTATTTTATTTTTCAAGTGAATATTTTTGAATAAATTAAAATGTATCATTTTTTTTCTATCAAAATTCAAAGCACTAAATTTTTTTTAATAATCAGATAACATGAAGCCAGAAGATGTTGGACTAAGTAAAGATATACAGTTCTTCAAAGCAGAAAACAATGTGAAAGAAAATCCAAGAGTCACATACACAACCATATACAAATGTGACAATTTTTCAGTAAGTTTGCTAGCTAGATATTCTATAATATATATGTATTTTTTTTTAGGGTATAATAGTTTTTTTTGTTTTGTTTGATGCAGCTATGTATATTTTTCCTACCTACAAATGGTGTGATTCCACTTCATAATCATCCAGGAATGACTGTTTTTAGTAAGCTTCTATTGGGAAAAATGCACATCAAGTCTTATGATTGGGTTGATCCTGATGTCTCTCACAATTTGTTGAACCAACCATCTCAATGTATGTATTCAAATCTCTATTCATACAATCACCAAACTATACTAACCCTAATTCATGGGATGACAACATGGTATCAACATTAGATTTTAGACCTAATTATTGATTTTGATACCAAGATTGAATGACCTATTTAGCGAGTCCAACTTCATATTTATTCGGGTGCAAATTTGAACTTATATCGACACTCTGATATTTATCGTCTTCATTGTTAGTATAAATTTAATCTTGTATTTTTTGCAGTGAGGTTGGCAAAGTTAAAAGCTAATAAAGTGTTCACATCACCCTGTGACACTTCGGTGTTGTATCCAAAAAGTGGAGGAAACATCCATGAGTTTACATCGATAACTCCATGTGCTGTTCTTGATGTCATTGGACCTCCTTATTCTAAAGATGATGACAGAGATTGCTCTTACTATAAAGATCACCTTTACACTGCTTTTCCAAGTAAGTAACAACTTCATTCTTATGCTATAAGAATTGCCACCAACACACAATTGATCCAAATTAGTAAGTAAAAATAAAACTGACATCATTGACTTCATAGTACATTAGTCATGACTCATTTTTCATTGACTTCATTGACATTTTGATGCATTCAAAATGAATTCTTATCATTGACTTCATTAATGCTTTCCTGACGCATTTCGTGTCGGTGTTTAATATTGATACTATCTTATTTAATTTGAATTTTTCAAAGAAGAACTTACACGTGTCAGTCTAATATTGACACTGAAAAGAAGAGTTGAACTTACACGTGTCAGTGTCTAATATTAACACTATCTTACTTAATTTGAATTTCTTAAAGAAGAACTTACACGTGTCGGTGTCTAATATTGATAATATCTTGTTTAATTTGAATTTTTCATAGAAGAGTCTACACATGTCACTCTCTAATATTGATAATATCTTATTTAATTTGAATTTTTCATAGAACCTACACACGTGTCAGTGTCTAATATTGATAATATCTTATTTAATTTGAATTCTTCAAAAAAGAGTCTATATGTGTCGGTGTCTAATATTGACAATATCTTATTTAATTTGAATTTTTCATAAAGTTTACACGTGTCGGTGTCTAATATTGACACTATCTTATTTAATTTGAATTTTTCAAAAAAGAACCTACACAAGTCGGTGTTTAATATTAACAATATCTTATTTAATTTGAATTTTTCGTAGAGCTTACATGTATCATATATATATATATATATATATATATATATATATATATATATATATATATATATATATATATATATATATATATATATATATATATATATATATATATATATATATATATATATATATATATATAATATCGACACTATCTTATTTAATTTGAATTTTTTAAAGAACACATTTCTTTCGTATGAAGGTGATAGGGGGACATTAATTGTGAATCCTTACTTGGTTTTACTTGGACTTTTAAAGATAAAACATGTTAAACTATTAGAACACACTAAATATGATTTAAGCAATTCTATCATATATTAGTCCTTAATTAACACTAATGCTAGTATTATTGAATTTTACAATTAGTGGTTTTAAATTAAATTCGCAGATGGAGAGATTGCTGAGTTGAAAGAAGAAAATGATAGCTATGCATGGTTAGAAGAAATTGAGATGCCTGAAAACTCTCAAATGGATGGAATTGAATATTTGGGTCCTCAAATTATAGAGACTTAATTCCCTATAAAATCATATCAATGTTTTTAATTGCATGTATTTCAATGTATTTCATAGCTAGCAAACCCTCTTAGATCAATGTTCTTTCTTAATGTGCATTTAACAAATTTGTTGGTTTCTCTTGTCTAATGTTTAATAGTTTAATAATCATAATAATATGCTTTGAGTATACACATGTTTTATACAAATTTCAAATTATATTTCATCATCTTATTTTAGTATAATATAAACTTGACTAGAATTTGAAAACATTTCATGATGAAAGTAGTAAAGGTCTGCATTTCTTGGGATGTATGGGTTATTTCCTATTTAAAATTTGATTTATTTTTATTTAGAGAGTATTAATAATACATTCTCTAACACACTTTTATAAATTATTATTTATTAATTAAAATTTATAAATATTGTAATAAATAATGTGGATTTTATATAAATTTGAATTTTAACGAATAAAAAAGAGTGATGAAGAGTGTGCCGTTAGTTTTTATTCTTTTTCTTTATATGAGTTGTAAACAATATATTGTTGTTCACTTCAGAACAAAATGATAGGTGAAATAATGAGTTGTTAGGCTCATAAAATCTTCATTTTTTCTTAAATATGTATCAAATCCAAAAATTAAGGTTGAATCAATTATCTAAAAACCCCACCTTAAAATTAGAAGAACTTGAACACGAATTTGAGGTCTAAACATGTATCAACCCCAAAATCAAGGTTGAATCAACTATCTAAAAGCTCCACCTCAAAATCAGAAGAGCCTGGACACGAATTTGAGGTGAAAGTGCTGATTTTTTTTCACTCTTTATGGTGCATGCAAGCTCTCTTTTTCTTTTTCTTCTTCTTCCCTCTCTATTTTTTATTTTGGTTGAAAAAGAAATGAGAGAAATGTTGAGAGGTTACTAGTAAATCACTTCATGGAAAGGATTAAGTTGCCCCTTCAATTTGTACAAATTTTCAAATTTTGCCACTAGTTTCAAAATTACCATTAAGTTCTAATGTCTATTATTTATCTTAGCAATTAAGATACATTAAACACTTTAGGTAAATTTGGATATTACAATCAAAGTCACTTTTTGTTAGACTCTGAATTTTATGTTTACAAGATGAATGACTTGTCTCAAGAAGAAGTATTCTTGAAGAGGCGGTTGGTGTCCTTCTTCAAAGATTTAGGTCACGCTGAGGGTGTTTTCCCTCCAGATGCAATGTTGAAGAAGAAACTAAAATAGTTCATAGAGATAAGCCTACTGGAGGATCTCGGTTCGAAAGAGGCCAAGAATGTCTCTTTTTTAAATATTCTTTGTTTGTTCGTAACATGCGTATTATTGTCATGTAGATAAAATGAAATGATAGTAAACAATGAAACTAATGAATAGGACTCCTCGGGTTATCCCCGTCTTAGTCGGTGCTACTAATATTGTGATCACTAGTGGGGTTCCAGTGACGGGAGTCCCTACTATTTTAGTGACCAGGGGCACACATACTTTGGCATAGATGGACATGTGAGATTATTTGACCGGGTTATGGTGGAAGATGCTCTGTGTTCATCATAAATCGATGATGGAGAAATTTCATACCTTAATCTTGAACTTGAAGAGCCATAAGTTAAGTGATCATTTGTAAAGTGTCCCCAGCTGAAGTATGAATTTCTCCATATAGAACCCGGTGAAACTGTGAAATCCATACAAACTCGTTTTCTCCATTTAATCAACAAATTATATAATTTAGGAAAGATTATGCTAACAAAATGTTAAGATCTATGTGCAGGGAATGGCAACCGAAGGTTACAACCATTAGAGAATCAAATGATTTGAACAATATGGATATCACAAAACTATTTGAAAAACTAACTAAACATAAAAATGAACTAAAACAGCTTGCTGCAAACAAAGTAATCTCAAAAAAGAAAGAGAAGGTCAAATAATAGAATCGATGTATTTCCTTGAAAGCTTCATCGTCAAAAACAAAGAAAGTTGCGGATGATAGTGATAGTTCTGATGAAGACTCTTCCAAAGAAGAAGAGACGAGGTTATTCGTCAAGCGCAACAATTAATATATAAAGAAGCACAAGCTCAAACGTTCTGACAAAAAATTGATCAACTTCAAGAAGTCACATCCTTATAATAAGGAAAATAAGAAAACAGAAGAAGATGACACATGCTACGAATGCGGAAAGTTAGTTCATTACCGAACAATGTATTCGAGTATTAACAAGCGCAATAAAAAGAAGGATAAAATCTACTACAAGACGAAGGGTAACTGTGCCAAAGATCGTAGGACCTATGTTGCTTGGAAAAAAGAAGATGAGAGATCCTCTTCATTTTCCAGTTCTAGCTCAGATGATGAATGTGCAAATTTGTAGTTGATGGCACACAAGAAAAGTAAAGCCTCAGTGGTATATGATTTTGATCCTAAATTTAAATCTTCTTACAAACAATTACTGAAAGTATTTAGATAAATGCATGCATACACATTAGGTGCTTTTTAGAAAATTTATTTCCAAAAGAAAATTTATTTCAAAACTTGAAAAGGAGATTAATGATCTTAACAATGTTTTAGATTCCTTAAAAGAAGAACATGCATCTCTAGTTAGTGAGAACTTAAATGTTTCTAATACTTTAGCTGAAAAGGTAGTAAAAATATATTTTGGTACTTATCCAATTTTGAAACTTGAATATGAAAACCTTAAATGACAACTAGCACAAGATATTTCATTATCTACTATTATTTCCACTTCTTCAAGTGAAAGAGGGATTAGTCTTAAGAAAAACCCTCAGATAGAAAGAATATTCCATCTAAAGCAACATGTTATTATTGTGGTGATAAAGGTCTCATTAGGCCTATTTTCCATATTAGGAATGTCAAAGTTGCAAATGGTACCATGGTTTGGATACCTAAGTTTTCTTTAACTAAGCCTCCAAGACCCTCTAGTTAGGCACCTAAATTACCTTCTCTTTTTTTTTCTGTAGGAATGTCTTGTCTCCACAAAAAGGTTATAGTTCCTGGATAGCTAATGTTCAAGAAACATGACAGAAGATGCTTAGATGTTTATTAACTTCAATCACAAATAAAGCGTCTAAGTCACTTATGGAGACAACACAAAATATAAAATTATAGGATAATGTATTGTGGTAAATCTCTCCATAATACCATAGAGTTTTTTATTAGTTAAAGGGCTTAACCATTATTTACTTATCATTAGTCAATTATGTGACAATGGGTATTTTGTTTTTTTTATACCTTGAGTTTCATATTAAACATAAGGAAAGTAAACGTCTTGTGTTTAAGGGTTTGAGAGTTGATAACATATATTTGATTTATTTGTATCATGTGTCAATGTATGATACTAAATATTTAATAACTAAGAATGAATATTCTTGGTTATGGTACATACGTTTAAGACATATACATTTTGACTTAATAAATAAGATAGAATCCAAAAATATAGTAGTTGGTCTAACAAAAATAAAGTTTTCTAAAAATAAACTATGTGATGCTTGTCAAATGAGAAATCAGACGAGATTGTCTTTTAAATTGAAAAACATTATTTCAACTTTAAAATCTATCGAGCTTCTCCATCTAGACTTGTTTGTCCCTTCATGGACAAGTAGTTTAGGTGGTAATTATTACGGGTTTGTAATTGTGGATGACTATTATAGGTTTACTTGGATGCTCATATTCAAAAAATTTACAATTTTAAAATTGTCACACTCTGTAGTGATTATGGTGGTGAATTTGTAAACAATTAATTTGAAAATTTTTGTAGCAAAAACGAGACTACTTATAACTTCTAATGTTTGATAACTCCAAAACAAAATGACATTGTTGAGCGTAAAAATTGTGCTTTAGAATAATTGGATTGGATAATGATAAGCGAAATGAGTATGCATAAATATTTTTGGCCGGATGCAATCAATACCACATTAGGGATGAAAAACGGGTCGCCGGCCCCGCCCCGCCTTAAGTCCGCCGAAAAAGAGGCAGAACGGGAAAGTCCACCAAGTAAAATTTGGCTTAAAAATCTAATATGCTCCGCCAATGTGACGTGTTGGCGGATGTCGGACTTGCCTGTCTATTATTTATTTATTTTTTTCTTCATTTTTTAATAAATTAATAAAAAAAATTTACATATCAATTAATTTTTTTTTGTTGCTTATCTTTATAAAATTCATGGCATACATTTTCATCATTTCCTATAAAATTCAGTTTATCTAATACTAACATAGTAACTCGCAAACTTAATCATTGCTGATACATTATATACTAACATAGGCCCATGAGAAAAATATATATTGATACACTATATTGGTATAATAGCATGCCATTTTGAAGAATTTTCAAGAATATGATATATATATATATATATATATATATATATATATATATATATATATATATATATATATATATATATATATATATATATATATATATATATATATATATATATATATATATATATATATATATATATATATATATATATATATATATATATATATATATATATATATATATATATATATATATATATATATATATATATATATATATATATATATATATATATATATATATATATATATATATAAGGTTAGGTATATAATCTTTATTAAAATATAAGGCATGGAGTATTTATAAAAGCTATAAAAGTGTGTTGATACAATAAAATTTTTGGTTTTGTCGTATTAGTTGTTCATTCACCACATATTAATTTGACAACTCAACGGGATAATCCAACATGTTAGTATGTGTGACAAAACGGGTTGTGGCTCGCGGGTTGACCCAGAGGTTGAGCGGGGCGAGCTGTGGCTGGTAGGCGGAGTTGAAATCCCAACCCATGATTTTTTGGCGGATGTGCAGACCGGTCTGACAGACCATAACCTATTTTGCCACCGTTATACTGCATGCCATGTCTTAAACAGGTTGATCATTCTATCTATTCTAGAGAAGATGCCATATGATATACTAAAAGGCCGGAAACCTAATATTTCTTATTTTTGTG